GGGGGCTGTGGGTCGGGAGTGAGGGGCACCGGCAGAGCTGGGGGGAGCCCAGGGCTGGGCTAGCAGGGGGAGCTCTCTCCCTCCGAGGTTTTGCTCTGTCAGGGCTGGGCCAGTGTTCCCAGGAGGCCTGAAATCTGTTCTCCTATTGAGGTCCCTGGTTTGCCCACAGATGCCACCCAGGTGGGGGGGCGGGGGGTGCTGGCTCCGGGGCAGCACGGCAGTTGGTACAGTCCTTGGTCCCATGGCCGCGCCCTGATGAGCCGCTGGGCCCTTCGTCCCCCTTGCAGATCCCAATCTGTACGGCTGCCACACCAACGTGACCATGTGCGGGGATGAGGCCAAGTGCATCCAGTCCCAGACGACCGTCTACTGCACCTGCCGCAGCGGCTTCCAGAAAGCACCTGACAAAAACACCTGCCAAGGTACCAGGCCGCTGGGTGCAGGGCTGTGCCGGGGGGGAGGCCAGGACGGAGCCCGGGGCTCTGCTGGACTGCAGGAGGAACCATGCTCCCCACGGACACGGGGCGGGTTCAAGGAATGGGGGGGGTTGCCTGGTGGGTAGCACACTCCCAGGGCCACGCCTGGCAGTGGCCACCAGAGCCACTGCCTTTCCGGGTCATTCTTCTGAAGGAGACAAGGCCAAGATTTCCCAGAATGCCCAGGGACTCTGGGGAAGAGGGGCCTGGTTTTCAGATGGCAGGTGCCAGGCATAGGACCCAGGTGTCCTGAGTCCCAGTCGAGTGCTTCGCCCGCTGGACCTCGGAGGCACGTCCCGTGAACGCCGCCCAGGTGGGGAGCAGCTGACTGGCACCCTGACCTTGGCCTGGCGGACGGCACTGGCAGTTCGGGCACCACGTGGCATCTCAGCACCCTCTAATCTGTTATTCACCCCTGTGCCCGGAGCTCTCCGCAGACGGCCCATCCCTGGCCCAGCCTCGTCACCCCCAAGTGGCTGCCGCTGCCTCCCTGCTTTGGGGAGCTGCCATGCTTAGCAGCTGGGGGGCATGATCCCCGGTGCCAGCACCAGGAGAGAGCTCCGCTGCCTGGCCGGAGCTGGGGTGCTCACGAGGGTGGTGAATGCAGACACCCCCAGACCTTTGGCCTCAGCCCACCTTCCCCTGGAGCCCTGAGCTGTTATGTGCCAGCCCATGGTTACCGTGAGGGGCTGTATCGCCCGCCCCCGCGCGGCGCCCTCTGCTCTCAGGTAGGACTGCCCTGGGGTGGGCCCCCCGCCCCGTCGCAGCTCCCCCGGCCCCTCACGGCCTGTCTGCCTCTGATCCCCGCCCAGACATCAACGAGTGCTCGACGTTCGGGACCTGCTCCCAGATCTGCAACAACACCAAGGGGTCCCACGTCTGCAGCTGCGCCCGCAACTTCATGAAGACCCATCACACGTGCAAGGCGGAAGGTATGGGGGGCGCGGGCGGTTTGGATACGTCTCCCTGGGACCCCAGCTCCCCTCTCTCCAGCCGTCTCAAACCCTTCCCGTCCCTGCGCCCCCAGCATCTGTCCCGCCCGGCCCCAGGCAGGAGCCACGCGGGACGCGCCCCATGTCGGGAGGCCGCTGGGCTCCACCCTGGCCCCTCCGCCCAGCCCTGACTGCTGGAATGAGCCAGAGCCGCAGCTCAGTCCCGCTGCCCAGAGCTGGCCGAGCCCGCCCCCTCCTAGCGGGCACATCCCCTGTGCCCCCTCAGTGCTGCACCCCACTGGGGCCCCAGCCGACAGCTCTCCCCCCTGCAGGCTCGGAGCAGCAGATCCTGTACATCGCCGACGACAACAAGATCCGCAGCATGTACCCCTTCAACCCCAACTCGGCCTACGAGCCGGCCTTTCAGGGCGACGAGAACGTGCGCATCGACGCCATGGACATCTACGTCAAGGGCAACAAAATCTACTGGACCAACTGGCACACGGGCAAGATCTCCTACCGCGAGCTGCCGTCGTCCGCCGCCTCCACCGCCTCCAACCGCAACCGCCGGCAGCTGGACGGGGGCGTCACCCACCTCAATGTGAGTGGGCGCTCAGGGCTCCGGGGGGCCGGGGCGAGCCGGGCCAGGGCACTAAGGCCCCGCCTCTCTCTGCCTTCCAGATCTCGGGGCTCAAGATGCCGCGGGGCATCGCCGTGGACTGGGTGGCCGGGAACGTCTACTGGACGGACTCCGGGCGCGACGTCATCGAGGTGGCGCAGATGAAGGGCTACAACCGCAAGACACTGATCTCGGGCATGATCGACGAGCCCCACGCCATCGTGGTCGACCCGCTCCGAGGGTACGAGACGTCCCTGCCCTGTCCAGACCCCCTGTCCCACCCCCTGCGCTCCCCCCATATCCAGAACCGGCGTCCCACACCCTGCCCCCCCATCCGGCCCCCGCGCCCCACTCCGTCCCACCCCCTGCGCTCCCCCCCCCGCTGTATCCAGCCCCCGAGTCCCACCCCGTCCCACCCCCTGCACTCCCCATCCAGCCCCCGCGCCCCACCCCCTGCCCCCTCATCCGGCCCCCGCACCCCACTCCGTCCCACCCTCTGCACTCCCCATCCAGCCCCCGTGCCCCACCC